GAGGCTTGTGCTTCCACTGTGAGAAAATCTGTCAAAAGCCACTTCGTTAATATGACACATACTTGGATGTGGATCTTCTGTATTTAAAGGATTACTATAGTGTCAGGAAAACAAACTCGTTTTCCAGACACTATATCATCCTTAGGAAGCCTCCCACCCTCCCCACAGTCATTACCATACTTATAGATAGTACAGATCTGCTGGTTATCAAAACACACCAACTAAGTGTGTATATATATATATATATATATATATATATATACAGGGAGTGCAGAATTATTAGGCAAATGAGTATTTTGACCACATGATCCTCTTTATGCATGTTGTCTTACTCCAAGCTGTATAGGCTCGAAAGCCTACTACCAATTAAGCATATTAGGTGATGTGCATCTCTGTAATGAGAAGGTGTGTGGTCTAATGACATCAACACCCTATATCAGGTGTGCATAATTATTAGGCAACTTCCTTTCCTTTGGCAAAATGGGTCAAAAGAAGGACTTGACAGGCTCAGAAAAGTCAAAAATAGTGAGATATCTTGCAGAGGGATGCAGCACTCTTAAAATTGCAAAGCTTCTGAAGCGTGATCATCGAACAATCAAGCGTTTCATTCAAATAGTCAACAGGGTCGCAAGAAGCGTGTGGAAAAACCAAGGCGCAAAATAACTGCCCATGAACTGAGAAAAGTCAAGCGTGCAGCTGCCACGATGCCACTTGCCACCAGTTTGGCCATATATATTTCAGAGCTGCAACATCACTGGAGTGCCCAAAAGCACAAGGTGTGCAATACTCCGAGACATGGCCAAGGTAAGAAAGGCTGAAAGACGACCACCACTGAACAAGACACACAAGCTGAAACGCCAAGACTGGGCCAAGAAATATCTCAAGACTGATTTTTCTAAGGTTTTATGGACTGATGAAATGAGAGTGAGTCTTGATGGGCCAGATGGATGGGCCCGCGGCTGGATTGGTAAAGGGCAGAGAGCTCCAGTCCGACTCAGACGCCAGCAAGGTGGAGGTGGAGTACTGGTTTGGGCTGGTATCATCAAAGATGAGCTTATGGGGCCTTTTCGGGTTGAGGATGGAGTCAAGCTCGACTCCCAGTCCTACTGCCAGTTCCTGGAAGACACCTTCTTCAAGCAGTGGTACAGGAAGAAGTCTGCATCCTTCAAGAAAAATATGATTTTCATGCAGGACAATGCTCCATCACACGCGTCCAAGTACTCCACAGCGTGGCTGGCAAGAAAGGGTATAAAAGAAGAAAATCTAATGACATGGCCTCCTTGTTCACCTGATCTGAACCCCATTGAGAACCTGTGGTCCATCATCAAATGTGAGATTTACAAGGAGGGAAAAACAGTACACCTCTCTGAACAGTGTCTGGGAGGCTGTGGTTGCTGCTGCACGTAATGTTGATGGTGAACAGATCAAAACACTGACAGAATCCATGGATGGCAGGCTTTTGAGTGTCCTTGCAAAGAAAGGTGGCTATATTGGTCACTGATTTGTTTTTGTTTTGTTTTTTGAATGTCAGAAATGTATATTTGTGAATGTTGAGATGTTATATTGGTTTCACTGGTAATAATAAATAATTGAAATGGGTATATATTTGTTTTTTGTTAAGTTGCCTAATAATTATGCACAGTAATAGTCACCTTCACACACAAATATCCCCCTAACATAGCTATAACTAAAAACAAACTAAAAACTACTTCCAAAAATATTCAGCTTTGATATTAATGAGTTTTTTGGGTTCATTGAGAACATGGTTGTTGTTCAATAATAAAATTAATCCTCAAAAATACAACTTGCCTAATAATTCTGCACTCCCTGTATATATATATATATATATATATATATATATATATACAGGGTTCAGCAGAACAGATTAAGCAGTTTTGAGGGGTTATAAAAAATTAACTGTGGTATATAGAGAAAAACAGTTTTTATTTTCGAATTCAGAAGTAAATACCATTTTATATTCATTAAGTTTTGAAAATAATGTCCTCGAGAAGGCGGCCATTAGCAGCAATACACTGTTGGAGACGATCTCTGAAGTTTTGTACTGCTCGTTCACACATATCGCGGGGTATGGTGTTAACTTCTTCAATAATCTGTTCCCTCTGGTAGGGTATGAGGGCTAAGTTTGAACACTTTTCCTTTCAGATATCCCTCCAAAAAAAATTGCAAATGCTCAAATCTGCCCACATTCTGCTTATTCACAACTCCACTTCTGTCAGTCCCTACATTGGCTTCCTATAAAATATAGAGCTCAATTTAAAATTCTGGTTCTTGCTTTCAAATCTCTACATAATGCTGCTCCCACCTATCTATCCTCCCTTACACACAAGTATGTCCTGTCTAGGCCCTTACGATCTGCTGAAGACTTACGTCTATCTTCTGTCCGTACTCCCACCTCTGATGCTCGCCTTCAAGATTTCTCGAGGGCTGCACCCTTCCTGTGGAACTCGCTTCCCTCCTCCGTTAGATGCTCACCCAGTCTCCACTCCTTCAAAAAATCGTTAAAAACCCACTTCTTCATAAAAGCGTATCAATTAAACTGTTAATAGCTCCTGACTGATTCCTCTTCTGCAACTGTCACTAGTCTAATACTATCCTTACCTTTTTGTGTCATTTTACCCCACTCCCTCTAGCATGTAAGCTCATTGAGCAGGGCCCTCAACCCCTCTGTTCCTGTGTGTCCAACTTGTCTGGTTACAACTACATGTCTGTTCGTCCACCCATTGTAAAGTGCTGCGGAATTTGACAGCGCTTTATAAATATCATAATAATAATAAAAATGTGCGTTGTCGCTACTGAAGAAAGCTGCTGCGGGAGGGATCTGTGCAAGCATTTGCTCACACAGATTTCTGCGGTTGGTGTAATCTGCAAAAATCTATTCCTGAGCCAACATCATCTTGTAAGGATGAAACTGCAAATCTAAATGAAGAATTCTCCTCAGACTGCAGTCTGACATTCCCAAAGCAACAGCATGCTTTCGAGCAGAACTTCCTGGCGACTGCTCAATTGCTGCTCTCACCAGCGGCACATTTTCCAGTCTTCTTATGGACCTGCGTCAGCCATGTGTACTCTTTTCTAAGCGTGATACAAGTTTCCTCCAACCGCCTAACCCATGACCGAATTCTGTTCGCATTAGGAACGGCATTGTTGCATGGAATGTTGAACCGTCGCCAAAAAGCTCTTTGCATCATGATCACAGAATATATGTCATATTGGCTACTGAAATGGGGTGACAGATGGAACACAATGAGACCAGGTGCACCTGCCTCCCCCCACCACAGCCCGAGCATTGACCCCTCAAAACTGCTTAATCGGTTCTGTTGCACCCTGTATATGTCTATGATTATATATGTGTATATATGTATAATCTTCATATCTATATAAAACAAAACACATTTTCCCTAAGTAATGTTCTCCCTTCTATTTTTCACTTTCACTCTAACTTCTCTCATTACTAAAATGTACCTATCCTTCTGCTCACCTGTCGATGGTGAAACCATCTTCATTGCTCCCACTTTACTGTCTTCCCCTCTCTATTCATCCCATGCACTCTACGTATACCTATCCAGCCTATCTCCACCAGCTCCTCCCAAACCCTCTTACAAAACGTACAAATCCTACTCCCACCTTCACTTCCTTTCTATCCTTCTATTCCTAACAGCTGGTGATTTCTCTCCAAACCTTGGTTCCACCTCAGCAAACCCACCACGTACTAACTCAAGGAACCACACCAATCTCATGTTACTCTTCCTCTAAATCTCCTTCAATACTGCCCTCTGGAATGCACACTCTGTTTGCAATATTACAAAATCCACTGCTGTCCACAACCTCTTCATATCTTCTTCCCTAGATTTACTAGCCTTACAGAAACATGCCTGTCCCCGCCCCTCTGACACTGCTACCCCTGCATCTTTATCTTTTGGTGGCCTTTAACTTACCCACAACTCAAGACACTATGAATGTAAAGGTGGTGGTGTAGGGTTTCTACTCTCACCTCACTGCTCCTTCAAACCCCTCCCCCCCCCCCTTTTGCTCTCTTTCTCATCATTTGAAATCCATTCGATTCGTCTTTTCAAACCATTCTCTGCTAACATTGCCGTTATTTATCACCCCCTTCCCCTCTCCTCTAACATACCATTCCTTATTCTCACGGACTTCAATATTAACCCATCCCTGACTTTCAATTACTTTTTCCCACGAGCTAGTACAAGCTCTTTAAAAGGTGAGTAGGAGTAATACTATTGTTGCTATACTCCTTTTTTCACTACCAGGAACAGATTTACACTACTGTAATTTTTCTTATTTGCATGCTCCTACAGAATCTGGATATCCGACTACCTCAGAACCTCTACGACCAACATATCTTACCCAAATTATTCAATCAATTTGGACTCTTTCACCCATATGCCTTATAATTAGGACTATTTTATTTCTCATTTATAATTTTTATGTAAGTACACATTGGTTTTAATACATTATATCATTTTTTATTATGGCGCGACTTATACTTTTTGTTTTTACATTAATAATTTTTTTGATGGTCTGTGAGGGAACATCATATCCTTAGGTTGCAGCCTACCCTCCACTTATCTTAGCTGTCTACTGGTTATTAAGCGCTGGTCCAATAAGGGTTTGTCCACTAAATCAACACTACCTGCAAAAAATGCTTCCGTTGAGCGGAACGCTCCTGGAGGAAGTCTCGCACCCAGTCAGACTTTCTCCATTATAGATTCATATTATGTTCATACAGCGCAGCCCTTGCCATCGCCAGTCATACTTTTCCTCTCTTATTAGTTCATGCTCCCGCAATCCAAGGCTTCTCTTCGACACCTTTAACTCTCTTCTTCACCCTGCTGTGGCCACCACTCAAACTAACCTTACAGCCGATAGCTTTGCATGCTACCTTACCGACAAGATTGAATAGCTAAGGAAAAAAAATCTCCCCATCCTGCCTTTTTCAACCACACATAGATCATGCCTTTCTTTCCCTCAGACTTTCTCCCCGGCTACTTAACAAGAGGTGGCTGCGCTTCTCCTTTCCTCCCGCCCCACCACTTGCCTGCTCGATCCGATCCTATCTCACCTTATACCTCCCCCTGTCTTGCGCCTTCCTTAACACACATCTTCAACTGCTCTCTCTCTTCTGGCGTTGCCCCTGCTGACCTTAAACATGCCACTGTAGTACCTATCCTGAAAAAAACAACTCTCGACCCGTCCTCCCCCTCTAACTATTGTCCCATTTCCCTGCTTTTTCAAAAGACTTGCCTTTACCTGTATGTCTCACTTCCTCAATTCCAATTCTCTCCTTTACCCTCTTCAATCTGGCTTCCATCTGGCAACCTCTAGTTATAACTTAATTCTTTCTGAAATGTCACTTTTTAATATCAATATAATTTTATTCACATATGCATGTCACAGCAAATGAATTAAATGCAATTAAATTAAAGTTACATTTTCAATGATTTCGCATCCATGGCAAACTCTGTAAACATTCTCTAAAAGTGTCCCTACACAAGTCATCGTGAGAATGTCTCGGGTAAAGTAAGCAAGGTGAAGACAATGAAGCCTCATCTCTTGCATTGAAAAAGCTTACAAGATCACAAATAGTCATTTCAGGATTCATAGTAAGAGTAATAGATTTGGGTTAACTTACATGGTTCATATAGAGGAAACTCAATTTTAAACACACTTCGATTTGCCATTTAAAAAAAGAAAAGAAAAATTACAAAACAAAGTGCAGACTGGGTTGAATACACTATAGATAACCTGAACACCTGGTAGTACCAAATAAACAGGATTATTCACTAAAGTGAAAATGTAAGGCCAAAGTACCTGAACTGGAAGCATAACTGAATTAAATGTGTTTTCCAGTTTAGCTATTGTGGCCTTATTGAAATTTACTTTGAATTCTCACTTTAGTGAATAACCCTTCTTTTAGTGCATTTAATACCGTGGCGGTGGAATCACTCATTGACTACAAGCTACTGTTTGCCACGTTGCTTTAATTTGAGGGATTGGGTGCACTAATCAGATGGTCAAAAATAAAATGCTCTAGGGCCCCTTTCTATTTGGATCTCTGCTTTGTGCTCTATCTAAGCACACCGGTGGTAAATTCTATACACTAGGCCTGAGCCAATATTGGACTGATAGCGGATATGCCCATATGCGGACTTCTTATTCTCCTCAGATGGGACACCAATATAAAGGAAGTTGAAAAGGATCAGGTCCCTTGTACTCCACTACTGGATTGTGACGCATCCAACATGAACTTGTAAAAAAAAAAATTTTTAAAATTAAAATACGATAAAAAATATGAATGTTAGAATTCAACGTCAAAGTTCCTATGAATTAAGGGTTTAAAAACATTGTGTGCTTCACATATTCTAATATATACCATGAATTACATTAACCATAATTCAGGTTTAGAGTACTACATAAAACTACTACACTTTCTGTATCACATACAGACACAGACTGCATGTGAACATGGGCATAAAAATTACAAACCATAAATTTAAGGAAGAAAATCATAATTGCAAAATAGTCAAAGCCCTATAATTCTAGATATCATTACACAAGGTTATCTTTAGCAGTTCATATCTATATTTAGGTTTTAAGCAGTTTCTTTTTGAACCTGCAGAAACGGTATGTTTACATGTTCTTAAAAATCTAATTTTATTAAAACAAGAAAACAAATGTTTACACAGGACAGGGCAAGTGATAAATAAGAACACACTGGTGTGATAGGGCAGACTGATTGTGGGTAGCTTCAACAGACTTCAAATTAGGTCAATGTGAGTTTTAAAAAAATAATATATACATATATGCGGCACAGATCTGCTATGACAGTATGCAAAACGAACATACATTGAAAAGTACAAAACTATGTTTTTGTTCACAATACAGTCAGTTTAGATATCGGAAGATTTAATCCTGATCTTCAGCTCTGCTGGGGTTCCTAGTGAGTTGGCTCTTCGACAGCAGTGCTTTTTCCAGAGAAGACTTGCGTTCTTAGGAACAGGATTCTCTCTGCCATTTCCAGGGTTTTAAACTTGTGTATTGGAACCTTTAATAGAAACCAGGGTTTAGGTACAGTCTAATAATTGTTGACATTGTTTTAAAGAGCTGGGACAACACTGCTTTATTCTAAATATAATGGTTAAGTAAAGATGACCACTGTTTATCAAAATTCTATCCTATAACCTAAAATGACAATTTAAGAAAACAAATTAACCCAATTTAGACTGTGTTTTTAGACAAAAAGAATTTAAATATGAAGAGTACAAAAGATATTTCTCTATCTTCATATGGCACAAAAATGGCTCAACATTAAAGTTTTTACGTGTATTTAGATGTAACGGGATCAAATATTCGAGGACAGAAACAGAAGAAAGCAAACCACTTTCAGTAAGTAATTGCGAAACAAAAGTAAAGAAAAAAAAAATAATTTTTGTTGTTTTTAAATGGGGTTAGTAAGCCAAAGGATAACAAGTGCATGTTTTGCAGGACAGAATACATTCCTAAAACTTTAGATTTTTAAGATGAGTAGTTAGATCTTACCAGCACCACGTGGTAACCAAGAGCCTTGAGATGTCTAATTTTCATGGCAAGCATTCCAAGTGGATGAAGAGTACCCACTGCAAAGTGAGACCGTTGCAGGCATAGCACAGCGACACTGCAAGAAAGATTTAATGTTTACATCACTAGAGCTGGACCCTTCATCTGTGGATACAGAATTCGATTGCTCATCTGCTAACTAGCATCTAGTAGAGACTCATCTATTAGAGAATTATCATCAATAATATCTAGGAGAAATGGCTTTAGATGGAGACTTCTGGTCATTGGTTTAATTTTCCTGTAATAATTCTGTACATCTTTCATGCCATGAGTGCGTTCATATACATGCAAAGAGGTTATGAACCAACAAAGTATTTTAAGTTGCAAAAGCAGTTACATGTACCAGACGCGTACCTAGGCTACATGGCACCTGGGGTGTCGTGCCTCTCCTCCCCCCAAATATTAAAACAAATATTGTATCTCCTTCTGCACTACCCCCAACTCACTTGGTGTAAATTAATGTATGTGCATGTAATTTCCCTTACCAAACAGACCCATATGCACACATATTCATGTACAAACATTTAATTCATACACATTTTTTTACTCCACCCAGCCTCCATTTATTTATCTTAAAAAGGAAAGATGAAGCAGGACCTCTTCCAAGGAGTACAGTGAAGAGCTGCTGGTATTACTCTTTGTACTGATTACCTAGCTCTGTGCAGCTCTGTACTGATGTAGAGGCTGATGTAACATCATATCCCGGCTGCAGAATCAGTACAGAGACTGATCGCAGCAGCCCCCTCATTGCCTATGTTATATCAATTTCTGTGGCAGCCCTCACAGGGGGGTTCTTGAGATTGCATAGTGCACGACATCCTGATCGTAACAGAAATTGATAGGCAGAGCAGGCAACTGCAGCACAGCACCCCTGCAAGAGACATGCCAGCAACCCCCCTTAGGTCAACTCTGACATGTAACATCCCTTGTAGGTTATTCTGGTATCAGGACTTAACATTTCAAATCCTATGCCTTCAGATAGGCCTATAAAGTTATTTGCCGCTGCAAGCCTGGAGCATCCATGGAACATTTATCAGGAGTGAATTTCCACTTACTGGGGCTGAATTTTCATTCACCAGTGGTGAATATTATGATATGATAGCAATGCTATTCACAAACAACACAACACAAATCAGGTATCAAAGCATGTGTTGACATGAAGAAAACTGTGCAGTTTTCATACACCTTTTTTCCCCCAGAAATTAAAAAGATAAATAATCAAAACGCACTATTTTCTTTTCTTTCTTGGTCCAACTACCAATAACTCACTAGCAGAAGAAGTAAAGGAACATTAGAGTTAGAAACACAAATTTGTATTCCTAACGCTATAGTGTCCCAGTCCCTAAATCTATACAGGCCCACCCAGCATGCTGCAATAAATTAAACCAAAGTTTTACTTAACTTTTCCAGTGCTGAGGCTCCCTACCTCTTCACGACCTGCATTGTCATGGGATAGGCATAGACATCTGCACCAATTGGCAAATCCAATGTCCCTCATAGAGGATAATTGGAGATCTGTTACACAAGAGCAGCTCGCATTCAAGCTTCCCATTGGAAAGCATTGTATACAATGCTTTCATACGGGCTACCTCATCACGTATGACGGTCACTAGAGGTGGATTTAAAACTGAAACATAAGCACGGCAAAGTAGTTAAAAGGTCATTGATATGAAGCAGCCTGGGTGACAACAGTGTCCCTTTAATATTCTTGTACATAACAATACCTTCCAGAAGAGTTCCAAACCTTTTAGTAATAAGGAAAACGTCAACATATATCCAAGGCACAGCTCCTCCATTTTTGTTTTAAATTAAATCAGCAGCCTATAAACATCCCATCCACAGTTCTAACCAAATCCCTATTGGCTTTCCCGATGGAAGCCCCAATTTAAAGGGGAGACTTATTAAAAATATATTTTAAAGATGAACTCTTTGACTAAAACATCCTTAACCTAGAACTTACTCTGTTATTTTTACATCTATTTTACAGCTGTGGAAGGTTACATTGTAATCCAGTTCAGACAAGGCAAAAACAGGACAAACACTGCACAAATACATATTTGTTAAGTACAGATTTAAGTAAACATAATCTTAAAATTCATGGTAAGTGACAGTTCAACCTATTACAGCCCTGAATGCAATGTGATCTGATTTGTTTAACAATAAATACACCTGTTGCATCTACATAAAACATCATTTCATATGTCTATACGGAATTCTAAATAATTGTTCTTCAGAATAGAGTGCTTTTAGTCAGTATAAATCCTTTGTTTTCTGGGACTTGCAGGATAGCACATGATATATAATCAATTTTTTGTATTTTCATGAAAACAAGAAAGATAAGAAACTAGAACCGAATTCTCAGTAGATTTTAGTACCTGCTGACATGTGGAGAATTATCTGCTGGGTTTGTGTGAGTCACTGGAGCAGTTGTGTTCAGTTCAGTATTTACAGCAAGCAAAAAGTCTGGGGGGGGGGGAAAAAATGGCATTATTTAAAGCTGTGGTTAATTACCAATTTTCTTTGGCACTGAAGTAGTGGTTACATAACAAAAGGTGTTTTGTTCCCACGACACGAAATATTTCCTTGCAAGTTGCAACACATGCCGCGCAATACAGGTTATGGAGTACAAGTTATGCTTTATAACAGGTTTATAACATGATACAACTTTAATTTGTACTGTCTACCCACAAGAACAGGACTGTTTGACAAAGTCTCTGCCTGACCCAATGAAAATTTGTGGCTTGTGTCCCTTATGCCAGCTAGTGTGATTTTGTTTGACATTTGTTTGCCTACCGGTTATTATACACCACTATCTAAATTATTCAACAACCAGCATACAAAAATATGTAATCGAGACATATAAGGGGGGGTAGGTGGCACTCATATATCCTGTTCTGTCACTCACCCTGCAGTCAGACTGGTTCAGCAGCATTTAAATAACTTAAAAAAAAAAATATTATGGTGCCACCACCAGTTACCCTTGGTCGTACATGCACAGTAGCACTTCTAGGAATGCATCACAGCTTGTGCCTGCTTTACACAGGTTGCTTTGACTAATCCCATCTGTTTACGATGCCACCCGGGCAAGCCCTTTATAGTTGGCTAACTGGAAACATTGCGCTCTGTGTTCCATGCCAGCTTTTCCACCTTCCATCTCCACTGTAAAATCTTCTGATTCCAGCTAAATACAGAACACCACCCGGGTGTCCCTTTCTGCAGTGGTTTTCCGCTAACAGCCAGTGTATGCCACCACCAGCTGCACTGAAACTTGGGGTCTATGTGGTACACCGCGTCCTTGATGAAGTCCAGCTATTGTTACTGTTCCACTCGTATGACAGAAATAAACCTAGGGGAAATTGTAAGTAACCTTATTTAAATGAATGATGGGAGGGAACTTGTATATTCAGGTCTTAATTAAATAGAGGCCTGTGTACCCGTCCTATTGAGGTGAATACACCTTATGCTACTGCCGCTATATGACGGGAAACTGATGATGATAATAATCACTCCACTCTTATGTCCATAGAACAATCAAAACTTTGTGACTCAATTACCTTATATATTCCAGTTCAAAAGATGACATTGTAACTAATCTAGAAGTGCTGAGGTTGATGATTGTCATCATTTATATAATCCTTGACTAGCACAAATGGCAGAACTCTACAAATCCTGAAGGATTAACAAAAGGCTAACAAAAAAAATAAAATATAAAGAATTGCTTATGAATCCTTCACATCATCGATCACAATAATACAATTGAGAATAAAAAAAACAAAAAAAAAAAAAGGCAGTGGCATGTATACTTTCAAAAGCATTAGTCAATTTGTGCTAAAAAGCATATTAAAAAAAAACACATTTGATTTCCTTTAAGATGGCAAAATATTTAAAAGGTCAGTACCAATGTAATAATTGCTGAACAGTTGTATGCCTTTCTGTAAGTCGGCAGGGTCGTCTACAATGGCTTCCAGGGTGGTTTCAACATCTATTTGAGGCCTGCTGTTATCAACAGGAACAGTCATCAGATCCAATAAACCAGGCATTTCGGGGGAATTTTCATCCAGTTGCAAGCACATTTTAATACTGTGCAACATCCGAGTATTGTCTTCAATGTGTGGATTGGCTAAAGGGGAAAGGAAAACGTCATATCAGATAAAAGGTTAAATTTTTTTCAGTGTGTTTCATTCCAGAAAAACAGTTATAAAAAATAAATGCACACAGCTCAGCCCCTAACCGTGCTGAATGATCTGAATTACAAAACAACCTGCATTAGAAGGAGAGGGCACCCAGGAAGGCGTATAGTAAGAATATTACTACCTTTCTGTAGTTTCTGACTGTCTGCAGCCAGGTTGTGAATTACAAGCAGCTCACTCAGTGTTGTTGGGGTTGAGACTGTTTGCATACCTTTTATACGAAAGTCTTTCTGGCACGAGGGGGTACAGCTCAGGATGTAGGTTTATGGTGCAGCAATTACAAAAAAAAATTATTGGTGCCTGGAGTGTCCCTTTAACACCAACTCCAATATGAAAACCTGTCCATTCCAATTCATTTAAGGTATTCATTAATTCTGCAACATTATTTTGTCTTAAGACATATTGCATTAGCTTGCTTGTCATCTTCAAGTGAATCTTTGATCTATATAATAAGTGGATGGCAAGCTCAGCTTTGGGTAGATATACATATCCTCCTTCAACAAAACTGCTTGAAATGTATGTGACGGTTGACACCCCAAAATGATCCGATTGGCATCCCCTTAGATTTTAGCAAGTGGGCTGAAGGCTAAGATGGGGGAATGCTCAAGTGCTATTTGAAAAGGGGGCTTGGAAGGCATAGCATTACTCTTGTAGTGGACAAAGGCAAACACTGAAAAGGTAACATGCTAAGACAAAGAATAATATCCAAACTAGATATTTGCAGGCATTTCGCTTAGCATAATGAATAGATTGAATGTTGTTGCTTATAAAACTTTTCACCATATCATGTTCCATTTTATAAAAACTAAATATAGTGTGACAGCAAATACACTTTTCAATTTAAAAAGAGTTGGCATTGATGCAAAAGTTGAAAAGCAATATAAAAACAGTACACAATGGTTCCTAGGTTAGAAGGAATGCATTTTCCATGAAATTTAACAATACGTTACCTAGGTCCAGTAGCTCATTAAGAACATCCTCCCTCATTAGTTTCTCCAGTGGGACAGAAGGAAAGAATCCCAAGTTGCATAAGGAGAACAAGACTTTCAGGAGTTCAGGTGAAGAGATACGAGGTAGGTATAAATGAAGGGACGTGTTCAAAGCTGCCAGTAACCTATGTAAGTTAAAAAACAAATGAGAGAGTAGACCAAGTATTTTACATTTAACCCTCAAATAGCACCTGTGTAAACCCATGGAACAAAACATAAAAGTCAAACATACAGGCGGGCTAACACAATAGCATTAGGAGTACATGTTTGTCCTAATGCAATAATGTTCCTTTAAGAAGAAAACAGACTGAATCGTGCTATATTTTTATGAAGACATTAGTCTCGAAGCGCTTGATCTGCAATTTTTTCCTACATCCCCCCACCCCCTTACACATTTGTTTGAATCCTTGTGCACACTAATTTCTGCAGATCTGAACATGCATTAATTTAATGAAAGGAAAAAATCATCTCTGCCATGTTGAGAGTCCAAGAAAGAATAAAATTGTTTGCGTCTTGAAAAGTCGCATTCTTTAAAAATTTTAAGCAGTTTTAAAGATTCTGGGTTGTTTAAAAATAGAATGTTCTTCACGTAGAAAATGCTACTTCTCTATAATTGGTACAGTAATTAATAGGGAGACTTACGGCTGGCTTTGACCCTCAGGTAAGTGGTTCAGGAGTGAGTAAACTTTAGCTATGCATACTAAGTCCTTTAATGTCAACGATTCAGGGTTTTCAATGACTTTCTCTGCAAAACTGTCTAACAAAGACACATGTCGGAAGCCAAGCTTTGCCATTTGCATGAGGAATATCGAAACCTGTAAAAAAGAAAAAAAGTCTGTGTTAGCAACAGAAAATCAGTCAGAGAAATTAAGATATTAAAGAGGAACTGGGTCCTATACATGTGATAGTCAATGTAGAAAATGAAAAACAGAAGAGGAGAAATGAAACAATGTCATAAATCACTGTTGAGTATATACACCCCCAATGAATACATGCATACATTTTTACACATGCATTTATTGGGGGTATATCTTAATATAGCAAAAGCTGCAGCCCTCCCCTTTTTCCTTGGAAGATATTTCCAGTCGCTTCACAGGGAGAGAGCCAATCAGAGGCTGCTCACTGAGAACCATTTGAAGGGCTTCCTGTGTGTGTACGTGCTCGAGAAGTATACTGGAGGCTGGTCTGAGGTGGTTTATGGGTGTGGAGTCACTATTTAACACGTTACAGTTGACTTTCAATGTTTTATGCAATGGAGACATTACCCCTTTAAAACAGATGTATACATATAGATTAGATTATTACTTTACTATAATGATACTACCATTGTTACATATAGTTTAGTACTGTAATATTTTGTACTTGATGCTACATGTAGTTAATAATCTGGCTGATAGAATTTTGGTTGGCAAATACTTGTTTATAACAAATGGCTAGCCTGCTCCATTCCTCCTCCCCCATATTTTGATATATTCATGTATTTTAGTATTTATGATGTAATGTTTGATATTTTAGAATAAAAAAAAAAAAAAAAAAGTTATCCAAAAATCTTGAAGGACCACTATAGGCACCCAGACCACTTCAGCTTAATGAAGTGGTCTGGGTGCCAGGTCCAGCTAGGTTTAACCCTTTTTTCTATAAACATAGAAGTTTCAGAGAAACTGCTATGTTTATAAATGGGTTAACCTAGCCTCTAGTGACTGTCTCATTGACAGCCGCTAGAGGCGCTTCCGCGCTTCTCACTGTGATTTTCACAGTGAGAAGACGCCAGCGTCCATAGGAAAGCATTGTAAATGCTTTCCAATGAGACTGGCTGAATGCGCGTGCGGATCCTGCCGCGCATGCGCATTCAGCGGAAGAGGAGGCGGAGAGGAGGAGGAAAGCTTTAAAATCTCCCAAATGCCCCTACTTGCTGGTAGGGGCATGTCCACTAAACAGTGATAAGCCTGGGGCTGCTCACTGTAAAAAAAAAAAAAAAAAAAAAACACCCTACTATCCGGCCCCCAACCCTGCGCAGTGGGTGGGGGCCCTAAATAACAATAAGGGGGGAGGAGGGGGCCCTATTGTCCTCCCCCAGGTTCCCTCCCCTGCATGGTGGGTGGGGGCCATAAATTACAATGAGGGGGGACCTACTGTCCACCCCCCCTGGCCCCAACCCATAATTACACGCTGTGTAAAATGACAAAGAGCACTCTGATTGGTTAGATTCCAAGCCCACCAGAGTGTTAGTGAGAGGGGAAAAAATAACTAATCTGTAAAGAAAAATGTAACTTACCATTTAAAACTTCTTTTTTCTAAAATCTTCATTTTTCAGCTCCAAAAAATGCCAAATAAAAAAGCCATCATACCCATCGAACTTAAAATAAAATAAAAAACCCAACGAAAAAGAAAAAACCAGAGCGCAAAAAAAATAATCCATCTTCACCCATGGAGGGCTCTGCGCAGACTGAGCTCTGCAGGGCGGGGGAAAACTTAGTAGGTCCCCCCATTGTAATTTATGGCCCCATCCACCGTTATCTTTATGGCCTCCACCCACCGCTCAAGGGTGGGGGCCCAATAGGTTTTTTTGGCTGATCACTGTTTACTACACATGCCCCTACGCGCGGTATAGCGAGTAGGGGCAGATCATTTACTAATACTAAGTAATCTTTACTTAGTATTAGTAAATGTGTCTGAAAGACCAATTTAGGTCTTTCAGCCTTTTAGTAGATAGCTCCCTAATACCGTGGGAATTAGGGAGTTATCTACTAAATGGCTGCAAGATGCAGCCGCGACAATGAATAGGATCGGAATTTCATTCATTCGAATGAAATTCCGATACGAACAAAGTCCTGAATTGCGTTCTAACACGAATGGAGAAACTGTTAGAACACAATTCGGCAGTTTTGCCGGAGTCCTGTCTAAGTGACAGGAAGCATTGTGGGAACAGGGAGGAAAGGTAAGGATTGAGGGAAAATTGCTGTGACCACCGGAAACGAAGCACACTTTGCTCCTCCGCTGGTCACTGCGTAGGAAACCTCCATAAGAGAAATAGCCCCTACTTTTTCTTAAGTTTAAAAGAAAACTAGAGCAGATAGGAAGAAATGAAGAACAGATCCTGAGAGAGGAAGAGATGAGGAATTGATTGGGGAAAGGTAAGTTCAGCATGTCAGTGCCGCTTTAATGAAGTGGTCTGAGTGCCAGGTACACCTAGGATTAACCTTTTCTGCTGTAAACCGCAGTTTCAGAGAAACTGCTATGTTTACTTTAGGTTAATCCAGCCTTTAGTGGCTGTCTCATTGAAAGCCGCTAGAGGTGCTTCTCACTGTGATTTTCGCAGTGAGAAGACGCCAGCTCTTGCCGCACATGCGCATTCAGGCGATGACGGGGAAAGGAGGAGGAGGGTCTCCAGCACTGAGGGAGCCCGGCACTGAAGAAAGGTGTTTAACCCCTTCCTCTCCATCCAGCCCGGCGGGAGTGGGACCCTGAGGGTGAGGGCACCCTCGGGCACTATAGTGCCAGGAAAACGAGTATGTTTTCCTGGCACTATAGTGGTCCTTTAATCTAAAGCGTTCACATGAAAATGCCTGCGGGGAATGATTATACTCACCAGAACAACTACATTAAGCTGTAGTTCTTCTGGTGACCCTTTAAATAATTTAAAAAGCTTATCCAAAAACATTAAATGGACGCCTATGTATCATAAAAAAAAAAGTTACAGTACAGTATCTATGTAGTTACAAATTTGGTCTTACAGAAAAGTATTTGCTCTGTTTTTGTTCTTAGCAGTCACATCATGAAGAGAGACAAGCGAGAGTGCTCCTTGGCAGGCACAAATGCTCGAAACACAATACTACATTCCCCATGATAAACTAATAAGATTGTATACTTTGTAGTGCATTACTACCAAAAAGCACACACCGAAAAAGTGTAGTCTTATTTACCCAACTTCACACAAAGTGAAGGTTTAAAGAACAAAACTCCCCCCTCCCCAGACACGGACTATAAAAAAAAATAAGGATACAATCTAGAAAGGACTTGTACCCCCTGGCCCTTCTTCCATTCCCCATCAACATTGGGATAACTTGAGAAGCTAAATGTGTTGGACTAGTTCTGTTCTTTGATATTTAATCTTTCTGGAGACAATCTTTTATGGCAAATAACTCTGCATTGACACACCAGTGTGCAATACAGCAAAGCCTCAACTATGCGTATGGCTCAGGAACTGTACATACCTAAAAAAACAGTGCACTATTTCTAAATGATTACAAACATTAGCCCTCAATCACTGCAGCAATACCAACTGACCTGCTTAGTCTCCCACAAGTAAATAGTGTCCAAAATATAATCTCCAATCGCAGTCAGCAGCTCTTCATCACGGTAGGACAGTTGAATGCATGCATTTAGGATCTTGACCATTTTCCAGAATGGGATGACATCTATATTGTCTAAGACAAGTTGGAAACATTAAAGAAGAGCATAAATATCCAAGAGTTTTACAAAATTTGGTCCCATTTTTATTTTTTGCTTGTTTGCCTTCAGTGAGACATTAATATGTAAATCTGAAACACAAAATAAAAGAGGATATCATAAAAAATAACTTTCAGGATAAAACATGAAGCTTGGGCTTTGTATCATTTATTTAATAAACCGTGTGGCTCTGCTAGTCTGACTGGTTATTTACAAACTGCACTAAAATTTGAATTGTTTGGGACGGCCCCTGTGACGTGAGGACGGGCGTGGAAGGCAGCACCAGGACATTCTACTAGCGCAGGATTCAAGGTAAGTAAAACCTATTTTTTTTAACTGTAATCCAAGCATAGTGACAAATAGGGCATTTTACACAGAAAATGTTCCCCGGCTTAAAGTACACAAAAAATTTTTTTTTAACATATACACCATGTGCTGCCAGTTCTGATTGAATATGAAAGCATTTTTTTCATGCAGGCTGTGTGTGAGTCACAGCTAAGGGAGATGTGGTTAAGGCTGCATAAACAGAAACCAAAGTGATTTAATTCCTAAATGGCAGAGAATTAAGCAGTGACACTGCAGGGGCATGATCAACACACCAAAACGGCTTTGTTAAGCCAAAAGTTGTTTTGGTGCTTAGAGAATCCCTTTAATTTACAAATATTAAACTGAAAATAAATAATGAATGTAACCAGAAAATATTAGTGAGAAATACGTTATTTCTGCTCTCTATGGGCTAATCTGACCCAAACACATTCAGAGCATTATAGACAAAATCTTTGCACAAGGGCGACAAGAGGCATGCTTTATGACAAGCCTCTCATAAATAGTTTGAAATCAACTGTGTGAATGGCACCCCAAGACTACTCAAATGAGCTGTTGAGGCTCTTACTATGCCCATTTAAAAGGGCAGGTAGTGCCCTGCCTGTAATATTCCTCCATGAAGTCTTGAAATAATATACAATGTTTTCTTAGGCTTACCAATAATATTCCTTTTGCAAAAATTTAGAAGGGGCAAAGATGTCAAGTTTATTGCAGCAAGACTGGCGAACATGTGCTGGGCATTTGGAAGAGTAAACTGGCCCCTCATCTCCAAAGCTTTATTCTAAAACAGAAGGGAACAAATTCTATGATTTACTGTAGCATCAAATTAAAAGCATAGCATATTTCAGATGCTTGAATTTACATAAATATCACAGTTATGTTTTTTTTTTTATTTTTTTTTTTATTTAGTATCCATACCACAAAACTCATACACAATAATTCTGCTTATCCAATACCCACACTGGTAAAGAACTCGGAAATCACTGCATTCTCGTGTACATTTTATGATAAGAGGAGTGCCTGTTGCCTCAGCCCCTATCAGAGGGGAGTATTGTGTATCCAGAGACAATTTATTTAGTGCATGCCAAAGCATGGTTAACTTTTGCCAAGTACACTGTTACAGGTTTATGTGTAATCTGTTCTTAAAATATATTATCAGGTATCTATAAATTCCTTTATAGAATTAGGTCATTACAAAATGGTTATTGTGGCAAACGTGCCTATGCCACGAGCTCCTGAAGGAGCCTGCTAGCTAGCCTCTTGCCCAAGGACTATGGGCCATATCCAAAGACCCTGTTTGGGAGTTAAATCACTCCAGCCACCATTAGCAGCTTTCTCTGGATGACCCTGGTTCGGCACTTTCCCTTCATTCGAATGGAACCGAACACTAGCTCCCTGCTGGCCGTTTGCATTAAGAAACTCACAAATTGTCCTCAGCGGTACTTAGCAGCGATCGTCATGAGGACTTTGTGGGTTCCTGGTCACCTCAGCGGGACTTAGCCGCAAATCTTATGGAACTATTTTGCCATTTGGTGACTGTGCAGCTCCCGGATAACTAGCTCCAAGATTTTGAATGACTTTGCAATCCGCCAGGAGAGCACTTATTGGAGGGAAGGTACCTGAGACTAATAGGAACAAAAGCTACCAGAGACCCAGCCGGACACCCCATATTGCGGCCACAGGTGCTCCCAAAAGTTGACAGAACACGGTGGCGTTTCCCCTACACTGCATGGATCTGAGCGCCATTTGGAGAATTTTGACGCTGAGATCAGGGCTATTTAAAGATGTATAATTTGTGGGGTAATTTTATGTTTTTATGATGTTTTGGGCTGGGGTCTGTGTATAAATTGGCTGTACCCAGTCCCATTAAAGTTCAGTTCACTTCCAACATTAAATCTCTGCTAATGTGTGGGGGGGAAGGCTATATAGCTATAATCAATCTAACAGCTATAATCTCTGGAGGAGAGCTCTGACCACTGGGAGCTGGATCAAGGACCCTGATCCAGGGTGGGAGGAAACAACGAGACCCCGGACAAGCTGCGGCGGCTAGGGGCTGAAAGTGCTTATGGTGTCCCGGCGATAGCTAGGGAGCGTGCTTGGCAGAGGTACCCAGTCGGGGTACCAGGCAGTCCACCACAGTTGACAGCTCACCCACTGTGCAGAGTGATATATTTGTAATGGAGAGGCATGAATGGGTGTGACAAAAACTGGTGTTTTTCATGACAATAGCATAACTTGATTCTGCAAAACTACACTTCCATATTGTCAAGTTTGATGCAGTTTAACAAGGTAATAATTCACTTCATTTGCCATACACACACGTAAAGCCAAAGAAGAAAATAACAGCAATTGCATTTTCTGAAAGCAGTGCTCATCGATTGTGCTAGAACCATAAGAAGCCTGTGGTATGCATTGTTACTGTTCTGGTTTAATAAAAGTGCACTGTCTCCCTGCATTAGATCTGTTCTGAGATAAATTGTATGCCAGGAAGCAAAATTGGAGCAGGTAAGTTCAGCATTAATGACACAACACATTTAAATGTTATTCAATGTTTATTCTGTGCAGAGTGTCATTTTTGTGAGACTCCTGGCACTTGATTCTTCGCAAAGATTCTTTCAGCTTGCATATGTCATTTTCATGACGGTTTATAAAAGTACCAATTTCAAAAGAAATCAGCGCTTTTATAAGGTTAGACAGTTAGGGAGATTTTCTCTCTCGCGTGCCTGCCTTGCCCCTTTCTCAACGAGTATCATAGGAGAGCTGCCCGGGGGAAAGTATGTGCTGGGGAAATAGGGGAGGGCTTGCAAAGGCTGCAGACAAGCGATCTGCAGCTTTTGCAAGCCGTTTTTTTTTCTCCATAAAGCCTCAAAGAAAACATGCAATAAAAATATAACGGAGTGTCCCTTCAAAGTAGCATAGTATAACAGAGAGGAGATCAGGCAGAATATGAAAGCCTCAGCCAGCATGACAGAGCTAATAAAAGGTTGGCAGTTGACTGCTGCATTGAGGTGTTGAGGCCATGTTTTACTGGAGAAGCAGCAGATAAATGGCATAGTGTAAGCTCGTATTAGCACATGTAAACTCTCACCTAGACAATGTTTTTCCAGTTTTATAAGTGGCCCTAACTATGACACTTAAAATGGAGAAAATGTCAATGTAATTAATTGGTTTAGGGCAAGGGACCAATGCATGCATTATGGTCAGTTGAAGCATCACAAATTCTGAAAAACTCTGTACCTGCCAGGAAGATTTTATAAAAAAAACATTTTAGCAAACACAAAACATGAGTTAATGATGATAATGACAACTTCTGACATTTGTAAGGCACAAATAAAGTGGGAGAAAAAAACAAACCACTATTCGAAGAGTGATCATTTAAATACATAATTCAGTATTGTGATTAAGTTCTGGTATTATATCTCTAGGGAAGCCATATTAAATTTATGCATTGCTATTTTTTTTTTTAAGTCACCTCAAGTTTCTTCTTAAGTGACAGAGGAGCATCTTTTCCAATACAGTTCATCATCGTCTGCAAAGGCATGATCCTCTTAATTTCAGGCAGTCGTAACTCCACAAGAACTCTAAAACCAAAACAAGAAGAGAATCAGAGAACCTCTTTGAAGCTGGATGTATAAGTACACATTACTCGATCTGATCTTCAGTCTTTCATGTTACATCTTATAGTAAGAGATGGGGAGTGAAGAATAATACATATACACACATATACTTCTGTAAAAGCAATATTTGACATTAATTTAAAAAATATCAAGTCATCAATCTTTCAGATTTACTTTAACATAACATTTACATTAGCAAATGTCTATAGTGTGCTTTGGAAATAAAAAGGGATCTGACCCACATTGGCAGTTTTTTAGGCTAACCTGAATCACTTAAAATGATCCACATAATGTCATCCTGTTGATTGTCACCACATGAAAATACTGTCCTGTATTATGGATAATGTAAATGCTTCAGGATTTCCGATTGATTTATCACCTGATTTACAACCTGCAGCATGTGAATTCTGCCTACTGCAGGACAGCACTTTCTGTATGTTGCCCATCAATTTGTATAAATGATAGATATGTGTTTTAAACCCTTTCATGGATGGGGGTGGAGGTGAGCAGAGGCACACTTTAGTGTTAGGAATTCATCTTTGTATTGTAGTGTTCCTTGAAAGACAGAATAAGGAAACAATGGCATACAATATTTTAGTGTGATAAAACATACAGTCTACTTAGTAAGACTGTGTGTAATGCTCACCGAAGTCCTGCTCTCAAAGAGTCCACATTTCCACATCTTTCCATTCCATCTAGAGCACTGGCCACAATAGAGATTTCTCTCTCTTCTAACTCATTGAGACGTTCCTAAGGAGGACAAAACATAGACGTTATTTAGAATTGGGCATGCAATTGCATTCATTCTTAGGCATCCAAATGAGGAATTCTATAGTACTACACGTGCATACAACACTGTAATAGTTAACTAATTTACATATATTGCCCAGAAAACCATGAAATTGAAAAATAATAATTATTGAATAAAAATAAATAAATAAAAAAAGTTTATCATGACCAATAGCTTATTTTTAGTTATCTCCTACCACAGATATCACAAGTCGATGAGACCGTTCTGAAAATATAGTTCACCATATTGGAGTTTTGCATGTAAAAAAAATAAATAATAGGATTTCGTTTTGGTGCACCAAAGTAGGGAAGGGCAAGTTTCAAACAGTTCAAATATACATAGAAGTCTCGGGCACACACGGCAGTATCCAAATAAGAAACATAGAATGTGACGTCAGATAAGAACCATTCGGCCCATCTAGTCTGCCCAATTTTCTAAATACTTTCATTAGTCCCTGGCCTTATCTTATAGTTAGGATAGCCTTATGCCTATCCCATGCATGCTTAAACTCCTTTACTGTGTTAACCTCTACCACTTCAGCTGGAAGGCTATTCCATGCATCCACTACCTTCTCAGTAAAGTAATACTTCCTGATATTTTTAAACCTTTGCCCCTCTAATTTAAGACTATGTCCGCTTGTTGTTGTAGCTTTTTTTCTTTTAAATATGGTCTCCTCCTTTATTGTGTTGATTCCCTTTATGTATTTAAATGTTTCTATCATATCACCCCTATCTCGTCTTTCCGCCAAGCTATACATGTTAAGATCCTTTAACTTTTCCTGGTAAGTTTTATCCTGCAATCCATGAACCAGTTTAGTAGCCTTTCTCTGAACTCTCTCTAAAGTATCAATATCCTTCTGGAGATATGGTCTCCAGTACTGCGTACAATACGCCAAGTGAGGTCTCAACAGTGTTCTGTACAATGGCATGAGCACTTCCCTCTTTCTACTGCCAATACCTAGGACTCTATCAAATATTCTGTAATCTGCCCTTGGGTTTTTACGTCCAAGATGCATTATCTTGCACTTATCCACATTAAACGTCAGTTGCCACAACTCTGACCATTTTCTAGTTTACCTAAATCATTTGCCATTTGGCTTATCCCTCCTGGAACATCAACCCTGTTACATATCTTAGTATCATCAGCAAAAAGACATACCTTACCATGAAGTCCTTCTGCAATATCACTAATAAAAATATTAAAGAGAATGGGTCCAAGTACAGATCCCTGAGGTACTCCACTGGTGACAAGCCCAAGCTTCGAATATACTCCATTGACTACAACCCTCTGTTGCCTGTCACTCAGCCACTGCCTTACCCATTCAACAATATTGGAATCCAAACGTAAAGATTGCAATTTATTGATAACCTTTTATGTGCAACAGTGTCAAAAGGCTTACTTAAATCTAGGTAAGCAATGTATACTGCTCCACCCTGATCTATTATTTTAGTTACCCAATCAAAAAAAAAATCAATAAGATTAGTTTGGCATGATCTCCCTGAAGTAAATCCATGTCGTCTCTGATCTTGAAATCCAAGTGTTTTTAGATGTTCAACAATCCTATCCTTTAACATGGTTTCCATCACTTTCCCCACTACTGAAATAAGGCTTACTGGCCTATAGTTGCCCGACTCCTCCCTATTACCTTTCTTGTGGATGTACACAACATTCGCTAACTTTCAATCTCCTGTTAACAATGATTGGTTAAATAAATCTGCTAATGGTTTTGCTAGTACACCACTAAGCTCTTAATAACCTTGGGTGTATTCCATCCGGTCCCATTGACTTATTGGTCTTCACTTTTGACAGTTGATATAGAACCTCTTCCTCTGTAAACTCACATGTAATAAATGGCTCATTTGTCCTTTTTCCTAACTGAGGTCCCTTCCCTTCATTTTCATCTGTAAATACTGAACAAAAATATTCATTAAGGGCAGTCAGCTAGACCTTTATTCCCTTCTACATATCTTCCTTCTTTTGTTTTTAATCTAACTAATCCTTGTTTTACTTTCCTTTTCTCATTTATGTATCTAAAAAATGTTTTATCCCCCTTTTTTACTGACTGTGCTATTTTCTCTTCTGTGTGAGATTTGGAAGCTCTTATAACTTGCTTAGCCTCTTTCTGTCTAATCTTATAGATCATTCTGTCTTTCTCACTCTGGGTTTTTTTTACAATTACTACATGCTAACTTTTTGTTTTACACTATTTTGGCCACATCTGCGGAGTACCATAGTGGTTTCTTGAATTTTTTGCGTTTACGGACAAGCCTAATGCAATTTTCTGTTTCGTTCAGCAGTGCAACTTTTAAATAATCCCATTTCTCTTGGACTCCATTTAAATTGCTCCAATTTGTTAATGACCCCTTTACACATATTCAAATTTTAGAAAAGTCTGTTATTCTAAAGTCTAAAAATTTTGTTTTTGTGTGGTGTGACTCAGTCACTGTTCTTATATTAAACCACACTGACTGATGATCACTGGATCCTAAACTTTCACCTACAGTAATATCTGATACCAAATCTCCATTTGTTAACACTAAATCTAGTATGGCCTCCTTACGAGTTGACTCCTCAACGACTTGTTTTAGAGACAATCCCAGTATTGAGTTTAAAATATGTGTGATCCTGGCAGAAGTAGCTAATTTTGTTTTCCAATTCATGTAAGGCAAAATTTATTTCAGGAACTGGTCTTATGTTGACAAAGGCTCAGATATTGAGACAAAACGTTGCTGTACAGGGTCCTGAAAAACTCTGCTTTTTTTGGATACCACTGTGAGTGCCCATATCTTCTATTGTTGAACATACATGCATGCAATGCCTTTATATAAATACAAATAACATGTTTTCCCATTTAATTTTAACGCACCTGGCAAACCCTTAATAAGGTCTGGACTAGCCTTGTTGTCTGAGGCACTTGTAGCTTTACTACTGCGTGAAGGGTATAGACCAAGTCCCCAGGGCCCATTCTGTGAGCTGCTAACATTGCTTGACGGCACAGATTTTCAAAATTTTGGTGCTCGAACATGATCTGCTTCTCATATTGTCTCTGTCCCTGCTTCTGCTTGATCTTCTTAACCGTTATCCACATGGTGGTGAAACTATTGCTGATATGTTTCAGGCTTAGGGAGGAACTGCTGCACAAATCCAGCACATCAGAAGGAGAATTGCACTTTTGGAACTCTTCAGCCATGGCAAAATTATTGGTTTTCCTTGTCTTAGCTGGTGTCCACTGTTCCTCAGTGATTACATCTTCCAGTGGGTTTAAATAATTTGAGTCTAATTTTTCTTCAAACAGATTTGGGGTGCCATCTACTAAGGATTCTCCTTCAACAGACTTTATATCATTTTCTCCTTTGCTGACTGGAGTTACATTGCTTAAAAATCTTACAGATGTAGCAGACTGTTTATATGTAGAAGGAAACGGCTGTGTTTTCATGAGAAGCTTCCTTCCTAGAACACTAGCCCTTGAAGTGTAATTTCTTGTGGGTTGCAGGAGTTGAAGTCCCACTGAAGAATTACAAGATTTCAGATGTCGCATCATGCGCAGCGCACATAAATAAGCCTTCTCACTCATTTTGGTTTTTGACCTTGGTTTAACAATGCAGATACTGGACTAGTAGGGTATAAAAACCCTACACTGCTAATCTGGAGGAAAAAAAAAACCAAGGGGTTATAAGATATAGTGTAGACATGTTTAATAATATTTAAAAAAAAACAATTTCCAGTGATCACTGAGCACAGTTTATATCACTCTACATTGTCAATGCATATAGCCAGCACACACACCATAGATAGCAAGCACATGCACATCAAATACAGCCAAGACACATGACACAAAACATGCATCCAGCATACACCACACTTGCACCAAGCACAAACAAGTACTTTCCGCTCATCACACACAACCAGCACATACTGCAAACTCACATGACATACAATCAGCTGTCACCACACATACATGACACACAACAAGCATACACAACACACAGATGAAACACAGAAAGGATATGCTGCACACACTATAAAAAAAAAGGGGTGTAAGGGCAGAGGGTAAAACACTCAAGGTAATTCAAAAGATTCTGCTTTTTTTTTTTTATCCAAATGACATAAATGAGGCAAAAACAACTATATCAGAATTATTTTACATTAAAGGATCACTATACGGTCAGGAACACAAACATGTATTTCTGACCCTATAGTGGTACAACCACCATCTTAACTTCCATGGATGTGACTGACAGCCTGCATGAAAAAGTTATCACTGGCACAAGTAGGTTAACCAGTGTCATTTATACCATCACCACTATCAGCAACCAAATGCTAGTGTACAGGCCAGTGTTGTAAATTGCACTTTAATAATACACAGGAGGCTCCTGCATGCTCAAGAATGCTTTTAATAATACAGGAGATAATAAATTCTAAATTAAACTGACTGTGCAATAAAGAGAGTTTAAAAATCGTATCTCTCTTAACAGGAAGTGTTTATGTAGACTGTAGATGACATGCAGTGAGTTGTGACTAGGGCTGCGTAAACAAAGTGATTTAACTCTTACATGGCAAAGAACTTCAGCTGATACACCAAAACGGCTTCATTATTTCTAGAGTTGTTTTGGTACTTATGTCGTTTTAACAGCTTCCCTACAAACAGTGTCACGTTTATTCCCTACAATATAAATTTAAAATATTAAAGTAGCATAATTGGTTTCACACTTTTGTAAAAACTCAGAAGATATATGCTGCTCACCATTTAGGTTGATTTCTTTTTCTATCAGCACACTTTTTTTTTTTTTTTTACTTGAAAAACACTTCTGTACATCAGCAAACCTGAGCCGATACTGAAGTTTTACTCACATTTATTTCCCCTCCATAGACCAGTATTTCCCTCTTGTGCACAAGAGTCAGGATAAGAATACTATCACCGCCAAGATGATGGTGTAGAACCTTGTTTGAGCATTCAAGTAGAAAGCAAAGTGAGAGTGACCAGTGTGATGGGCTAAATAATCTACCTACAGGTAGAAAAAAAAAAAGTATGTACATTGTGTACACTGTTATCTATGAAAAAGACTATCCCTTTCAAATATCAGAGAGGTACATTGTGAAACAAAGTGGTGTTTTTTGGTTTTTTTAAAATCAAATAAAAAAAAAACCCATTAGTACGAATATTTGTTAAATAGACTACATGTCCACCCTAAAGTGAGCAATTTTTGGAAACGGCCTTCCATAAAAAAATAAAATTAAAAAAACTGCGTATGACATTCACTGCAGTCTTGCTGTCTGCAAATATGAAAACCGCACCGAAATAAAATTCTTGTACAGGTAGCTAATAACCACAGTAGCACACGCGCCATTTATACTGAAATCTCCATTAGTTCACACAAGTAATAAAAAGACTGGGCACTTACAGCAGTTACGGATGTTCACCTTGATCAGGCATAGAAAGCATGCTACACGGGAACACAGGACGCCGCCATGACAGTGCAATCACGTGACTGTCACCGGCGTTCTATCAGCTTTCCCCACACGTGAAAATCCCCTACCTTCCTAGCTACGGTATCGGAGAAGGGTCAAACTAGTAAAAAGACCGAAAAGGTGGAATTCTGTCAGATTTCAACTTTAGATCTCACAGTCCAGCCCTCTAGTTATTGCTGGATTATGGCTGGATGTGAGTTGTGGGATTTGTATTCCCACATAAGGGAAAGCCAATCTCATATTAATCCTTACAGGAAAGAATCCTATGTTTAGGATACAGATAGGTCCACACTGAGTATGTGTACAATGTTTACTGGATAGTCACTTTATCCTTTCCCATGCAGTGAAGGGGACCTTCTTAACCAGAAATGGAAGGGGTAAAATCCCAGATATTGTAGAACTACAGCTATTCATGGAGCATCACGGGAGTTGTAGTCCTCTAGCAAACATTGGGCGTGTGAAGTTTGTCAGCGCTAGAGAGGTGTGTCTGCGTCATGACGTCACTGCTTACAGTCTGCCCCCAAGAAGGGCTCACGCTAATTAGCGTTTTGTTGCCTAGCAACTGCAGTTAACACCACAAGGAGAAAGGCTACTGCTAGCTATGGCGAAATTCGTACTGGCAGGTACTCACTATCCTATGGCACAGTTAGCTGTAGGCAGCATACAATCAGAACTGTTGCAATTTTTGGTTTTTTTTTATGTGCTAATTTTGCCATTTGAATTTTAATTCATTACACTTCTGAGTTTAGTAAATAAGCCTCAAAATAGCTGATCTGGGAAAATGATTTAATGGAACACTCAAGTGTTATTTGTAATGGTCTAGTGTTTCTGTCCCTAGGACTGGTGGTCCCCATACTATTTCCATAAAAAGTTATACAAATAGTATTTTACTTACTTTTTCCCAGCGCCAAGGCTACCAGCGTTGCTTACCTCTTTCCCTCCCGCAGCGTCATAAAGGAGGCATGGCATCCTCTGGAGTCGGTCCAATTCAATGCTCCTCTATGATGAGAACTGGGGATCCAATGCGCATGCGCAGTGAGTGCCACATAGGCATCACATTTTTCCATAGGAAAGGTTACTTGCTTACTGCAGCAGAAAGCACCTTCCGTGGCTGTCAATATGTCCTCTACTAGAGGTGTCTTTAACCCTGCAAAACATTTTGTAAAAAACTTAATTGTATTAAACTACAGGATTAAACCTAGAGGATGACTGGCCACTTCAAGTATTAAGAAAATTGGGCAGACTAGATGGACCGAATGGTTCTTATCTGCCGTCAAATACAGTCAGAGTTCATCACAAGACCACAGACAACCGCACACATACATAACACTACAGGCAGCCCATATACCCACGCAATACCACAAACAATCCACATACACACCCATAACACAACAGACAGCACCACACACATAAATATCACAAATACCACACACACATAAATGACACAGCAGCCCATAATTACTCACACAACATAACAAACAGTCCACACATAACCCTACAAACATCCCCATTCAACACCACAAAGCCCTACACACACACACACACACACACTACCACCATATACTCTCACATAACATATACAATGCATACCACCCATACACATACACAACCCCATGCACAGGCCATATGTACACACAGAAAACCTCACTAAGCAGCCACTATATCCAGACACAAGACATACACAATTCACCAACACAGAAAACCGTAAAGGGACTTCAAAACTTTCCTTAGGCTCAGCACTACCAAAAAGTTACCTACTACTAATTTACTATATGCTTTATTGTTATGTCATTTCTACATTATAGTATTATTTAGGGTTATAATTCTTTAATCATATGACAGTACTAGGATATGCATATCATGATTTGCCCCAAATTGGTGAACGTTACACCCCAGATTAGCTTGACAAATGTAGATGCCAAACCTTAATTTATTGTATTTGTTGTCTATTAATGAATAAATAAATTAACTAATAATAATATTAACATATTTTTATTCTAACAATCACAGGAAAAGCAGACTGTCCATATTATGCCAAAGCAGAACTTCTTGCGGATTATCTTCAGAAAAATCTTCCCCACTTCAGAGTGCACAAAATTACACAACATCCTGATGATTGGGAGGTGAGACATTATTGAGAAGTAACATTATTTTATAACTTATGTAATCACCATTAGTTTGGAGACTTGTTGTGCATCATCAATGTATCTCATTGAAGATAACATAGCTCCAAACACAGCAAGTCTGAATGCATATGTGTCAACTTACCCAGAATGCCTTGTGGAACATCAAAATAGACAAAGGATAACCATATTTCTTATAGCTCCCTTAGCAATGACCTGCTGTTTTATAGCATAACATTTTAAGTCAGTGTTTGTTTTGAATCGTGGGTCGAGTGAACCATTGCCTATAGCCATGGACTGTGTTGTTTTATTCTACTAGGATTCCACTGCATGGCAAAGCTTTCGCCGAGAGTCCTGTGTTGTATCTCAGGCCTTGCCTGCCACTAACTACCTCAGCAGTTTATATTTATGAAGAAAGAGGGATTAACGCACATGCTTTAGATTTCTCAAGACAATATTCTCAAATTAAAAAAGCAGAGAGAAAAAAAGTTACCTGCACTCTCTCCTAAATCCCTATGTATATTTAAACAAATGGAGGTTATTTAGTTACTCCAATGGCCATTGGAGGGAATGCCCGCCTGCCACATCAAGGCAGACCTCTCTGGTGGGTCCTACACTAACCTTTCAGTTTGCTTCCTTGAGCTTCTGGCAAAGATATATAACTTTTTTTCTTTGTTTTTTTACTGTCTGTATTGGGGCTGATGTGTACTATGGTCGTTGATGCCGCCTAGGAGTGTTTGGAGTTTGAGCGCAGGACTTGTTTTTTTTGTAATTAAAAAAGCAGACTGATGCATGTTCACATTTTGTTTTCTAGCAATGGTTAGCGGAGTTGTGTCAAAACAATGGCTGGAAACACAAGAAATCCCCCATAATTTGGAGAGAGCTTTTGGATCGAGGAGGAAAGGGCTTGCTTATCGGGGGATTTAATGAGTTCATGGAACATGCTCAGGTAAACCTGGAACAGTGAAAACATGAAACACTGCTTATAGTGGCCTACAAGGTTCACTAAAGTGAGAACTCAAAGTGAATTTCAGAATTAAGACCAAAATAGTTTTATTGGAAAACATTTCTGAGTCAGCTATGCTTTCGGTTCAGTTACTTTGGCCTTAAATTTCAAAATGCTCTTTGAATTCTGTCAGACATATTATGCTTCACTTTAGTGTATAATTTGATGTGTGAATTGTTGTTTTTCTTTGGATTCTCCAGCTCCTTAGTAAATGTTGTGTACTTATAATTGGGTGTATGAAGGCTGATGTCTGTCATTATCGACAATTATATATGTATATATTATTTCTATAGCCCTAAGACTGCACACTGTATCATACACTTGAGATTTTATTTTTTATTTTTTTTAAATAAACATTTTGCATAAGACCTAATATACACTAGCAAGAGAAAGTATTATAACTTAACATGCCTACACTTTTTAAAATTAGAAATATCATAACAGGAACAAGGAAAAAAGAAACAGAGAATGAAAAAAAGGAAAATCAATATATTTTTCATATCAGTGAATAATTGTCCCCGGGTTTTATGAAGTGACCGAAGAGTTATAGACTAAACTTGTTAAAGGGTTACTCCTAGAATCTTAACCACTACATCCTTTTATGATACCAGCGGCACCCTGGCCCAGTTGCCGGTAATGGGGCAAAATGTTTAATAATGGTTTGCTTGCTTACCTAGGTCCCTGCTGGATTACAATGTGACAAGCTTCTAGCATCTGCAGTAGCCGGAAGCCGCTGGGATCGACATTTCTTGACTGAGAGCGTCAGCTGACTGCTCTTAGCCAATGACTGATACTCTGTGCAACAAAAGTTGCACAGAAATTTCCAGGCTGGCTAATGACACCCCTATGAAACTACTGGAGGTGGAAATTAACCAGTAGAGGAGTTAATCTCGGTGTTTGCAGCATATCAAAGTGAAAAGCTGCGTTTACAGACCCCAGGCACCATAACCACTTTAAAGCACTGAATTACTCATGGTGCTTGGAGTATCCCTTTAATTTATGCAACATATTTTTTTGCAGGATCTTAAAGGCACACTCAAGGCATATTCCTTCCCTTTTCTCTTATGTTTGCCGGACACCTTTCTCATAAATAAAAAAGTGAAAAAAATAAAAATTAATTTGAAACTTGCCTGTAACCCAGCACAGTCTCCATGCTGCAGCTTCCCACTTCTTCTGAAATCATCAGTGTTTATGATTTCAGTCCAATCCAATCCTTCTCACAGAGAAGCATCGTGAACCAATGGCTTATGCACAACAGTCTGCACTCTGCCAGTCTAAAGCTTCCAATAGAGAAGCATTGGATCCATTTAGTACTGTTAGCAGCGAACCTTTCAAATTGACGATCTTCAACTGAAGTGCTTCTAGTGGCTGCCATCTTGATTTTGGACAAATGTAAACATTGCTGTTTCTAAGACATATATCTAGCTTGCAACTAAATATGAAGTATTTAGTTTGCAAATTACCTTGACAAATGTCCAGCCACTCATCAGAGGCTTACTTACATCTAAAGTCCAAGCTCTCTCTAATCTAATAAGCAAGTGAGGCTACTATACATAGCAGAAATAGAACCTTTTGGAAGAGACCTTGAATGCATAGCTTTGTGAGGGGAAGAAAGATTATTGCAGCTATAGCATTATACCATATCCCAAGTTAACATGCATGGCTATGGAGTTGTAAATATTTGAAAAAGTCTCTGATGGATATGCAGGCCATAGAACACAGTATTTCCAAGAAACAGCTAAGTTAGTAAACACTATTACCTGCATTCCTGGCGGTTTCATAAAATAGGGGTCATTAAAGATGGGCTTGTTAAATCACCTTTATCAGACAGGCAGTATAATATTCCAATATTCCTGGCTTAACTTAAGGCGGATAGCTTTTGGCTCTCATGAACGAGGTGACTTCCAATAGTTTTCTTAAGCTACCTGTACAAAGGATCTGCTCATTGACTGAGAATGTCAGCTGATCACCCTAATCCAATGATTTAAGCCCTGCATCTCAGGGTTTAGCTCAGTGCAGAGAGCTTTCAGCTCTTATGTTGAAGATGTCTGGTGCTCAGTTGACCCCAGGTTAGTTGTCAAACCATTACCAGTCAGTTTGATTGCTTACATTTGGAGGGCTGGGGGTGTGCCAGGCACTCCTGGCAACATTACCACTACAATGCT